AAAATTTTAGATTTCCTTTACACTTTCCAACATATGACAACTGTTCAGGCAGAAAATCAGACTGAACCTCCATAGCAATAAAAAAAAAAAGCATCAGGTAAAGTTAATTTAAATAAACAGGGCACTAAGGGCCCATTTAGACCTTTGCACTACACTGTGTTACTGCATGCATGTTAATTTGTGCAATTTTTCACCTTAACATGCATCCTTAACAAAGCTCATTCATTTTAAATACTGCCTATACAGCACAACCAGCGCCATCCCTATTTTGAGGCAGTCTGAAACTGTTGCCTCAGGCGTGTTGGTTATGTGTTTAGATGAAGCACTGTGATCTTGAGGATTCATGAATTAAGTTTTATTTGCTTATAAGAACATTACATAAAAATACAGCATTGTAAAGGAAAACATATACTGTATATAGGAAAACCGCCTGTGTATCATAGATAAGCATGTTGTGACATTGCACTACAGCGCCATCTACAGCTCAAAAGACATAACAGTATATCCGTACATTAGACTATCAGTAATATTCTGTTGTATTTCCAACACCCCTTCCAAACAGCATATGCATTGCTTTATGACATTAAACTTCTCGTGAAGGAAACTGTGACGATCCTTTGGCAATGGCTTGGTGAGTGCATCTGCCGATTTTTCTTTTGATGAGCAATATTAAATGTCGATGGCTTGCTCTTGAGTGTCCAGGTTTTATTTTCTTAGAGTGATTTTATTTCTTCTTTTGCTGCCTTTCTGCATTAATTGGCTTCACATGTTGGTAATCTTTTTAAGTCTTCCCACAATGTAGGTTTGAGTATGCTATGTTTTCTTAGCGGTATATCACAGCTTGCAGGTTGGTATTCCCTTTGTCGCTCAAGTGGATCTTCTAATTTCAGGTTGATCAGCAGAATTTAACATGGAATTTGACTTATCCTCTTTGAGTTCCACCTCTTGTTCTGATTCTTGTGCAGCTTTATTTTGCTCAGCTTTCTTTGCTGGTTCACTGGGTGCATTCCCTCCACAACTTCACAAGACCATTGTTTCTTGTGATGGGTTCTCATAGAAATAAACGCTGCAACTTATTGTCACTTTGTCAGTCTTTGGGTTTAGGATTCTATATCCCTTACTTTGTTCACTATAGCCCACCAGAAATCCCTTCAATTGCTGTGTTCTCCAACTTGGATCGCTTCTGCTTTGGAATAAATGTGTAAGCTTTACATTCAAACACTCTGATGTGCCCTAGGCTATGCTTCTATCCATGCCACATTTCAAATGGGGTGCTTTCAATGGTTTTTGATGGTAGTCTGTTCTGTAGGTATGTTGCAGTCATGGCTACTTCTCCCCAGAACTTTTTAGGTAGGTTGACGTCTGACAACATGCATCTGGCCATTTCTATAAGAGTGCAATTTTTCTGTTCTGCTACACCATTTTGTTCAGGAGTGTATGATGTGGTGGTCTGGTGCACTATACCTTGTTTCTTCAGATATAATTCCACTTCCTTACTGATGTATTCCCGTTCGTTGTCGGTGCATATTTTTGCTGGACATGGCTACAACTTCTTGAAGTTTTTCTGATGTTTCATTCTTGTGCTTCATCGGATAAGTTGTTGTGTACCTGGAATAATCAAGGGTTTTCACTGATAGAAGGCTTCCTTCTCGGTCTGGGACATACAGTAAATTTTTCACGAGGATACTCTTCTTGTCCCCTGATGGTGTGATGCAGTTCAAGAATCCTTGACTGTTACCTTCTGTGGTAATACTTTTCCCATTTGCTAGGAAAACTTCATCCTTTGCACTGAAATTAATTTCTGTGAAGAAGGTCTCATCACTAGTCATGTGACTTGTTGCAATTGAGTCAATACACCATCCGTGTGGTATACTGTTCTAAGTCACTTTAATGGTAGTGCTCCATGATGTGCCTGCAGTTTCCTATGTAGCTGCCATAGCTCTTGCTTTTGTAGGTGCCTCTTGCTTTCGCTGCTCGGCCTTCCAGATTGAACAGTCCCTTTCACAGCGAAAACACACTCTGCTTTCATTGTTTTGCTTTGTGCTCTCATGCACCTTAGGGACTTTCTCGTTTTCTTCATTGTGCATATTTTCCATCGCTGGTAGTTGGTATTGTTGAGCTTTGCGACTGCAAACTTCATATCTCAACTACTTGCCATTTTTCAGTAGCCTGGATGCGGTTCTTGTTGATTTGCAGTATTCTGTTAAGAGTCTGGGCCCATAATCTGGTGGGTATTTGTTTAGATGAAGCACTGAGAACTTGAGGAATGTTGAATTAGGTTTTACTTGCTTATAAGAACATTACATTAGAATACAGCATTGTAAAGGAAAACATTATATATATATAAAGCCTTCATGTCTCCCAGGTGGAGTCTTGAACCCTTCCCAACACCTTTGATTTAAATGCTGTGCACACCTGTGCCATCGGCATGCGCTGGCCACTCAGATT